TACCTCCAAACATTTCTGATCTCCAAGCAACCAATCACAAAGCTACAGACTTGGCAATTATACATAATTGAAAAGAATTCCATAAAAAAAAATATGTATAGAAAGGATAGTTTTTTGTTTTTCTTTCTATAATTTAATAAGCTCCAAGGATGATGAGAACTTTTGTTCTCTATATATATCTCAAAATGGAACTACTTAAAAGTTATTCCTTACTTATCATAAATTAAAAAGTAGTTAATTATATATTTTTATTCTTTACTTCAAACTACATTAACATTATTCTCAGTAAAAGAAAAAAGAGAGTAAAAGTTGTCCATAAGAAAGGAATATATAGTAATACTATATTTACAATACTATCTAAAATTGTAAATTTATAATTATTTTGTAGTATTAAGTAAGTATAATGTAGTATTGAATGATAGATGTATGTATATTATATTATAAATAAATTTTTAAATGAAAAAATTAATTATATAATAATATATTATATTATAAATTTATAATATTTCATGACATTATAATTATAATATTTTCAAAGGATGTACATGGGTTTGAAGGAATTTTTCAAAAGAACACCTGAAAACTTTTTCGCTACCTTAGGAGTTTGATTGCTGTGATATTGGTCTTTGATTGCTTCTTTGCTTTTCAGTGGGGTTCGTTTGTTTTGAAATTTTAATATTCTCTGATGAAATCACAAGCGAAGGTAAATTTCAAAAACATGAGATAAAATATACATTTTTTATTTTTTGGTTTGTCTGGATTAAGTTTAAGAGAAAGAGACTAAGAAATAGGTAAATAAGGATGTTAACTTAATTTATATATTTTTTAATTTAAATATATTAATTTTGTTAATTTCTCATTAAAAATGTCAACTTTCAATTTTTTTATTTAAGAATAGTAACTTTTAATTTTTTTTATTTAAAGATATCAACTTTTAACATTTCAATTAAAAAATTTATTTATCATATCAACATTATTATCCAATTAATTCTTAAATAGAAAAAAATTAAAAATTAGTATTTTTAAATAAAAAAAATTAAAAATTGATATCTTTAAATAAAAAATTAGTATCTTTATTTAAAAATTAATAAAATTAATATTTTTAAATGAAAAATATAAAATTGAGATCTTTATTTTTACGTTTTCTTCTTTTTCATTACCTTCGGAGTTTGATTGCTGTGATGCTGGTCTTCGATTGCTTCTTTGCTTTTCAGTGGGGTTTGTTTGCTTTGAAATTTAATATTCTTTGATGAAATTGCAATCAAAGGTAAATTTTAAAAAGAACATGAGATAAAATATACATTTTTTTTTATGTTTGTGTGGTTTAAGTTTAAGAGAAAGAAACTTATACAAAAGAAATTGAGAAAGTATTATTAAAAAAATTAATGATTTTTATAGCAAAATTTTGTTATGAATTTTAACTTTCCTATGTTTAGATAAAGGCAAAACTCATTACTAAGCCCCTAGGTTTTCTCCATTTTTGTGTATATGCCCCAAATTAATTTTTAATTGTATAAGTCCTTAGACTACAGAATTTGATGCAAATTAACCCCTTAGTTAAGGGTTACGGTTTGCCTCCGTTAATATTGGTGATGCCCGCTCATTTCCCTCTTCGTGTCTTTCAAAAATTGATAAATGTCAATTTACTCCACGAACTTTTCAAATTTGAAATGGAATTAGTCCTCTACACTTTAACTAGTTTACCGTAGCCGCCCAAGGTAACAATAATGAAAGATTGATTTGCAACTAATTAAGCTATTCAATCTATTCAGTAAGATTAGGTAAAGTATATACGGTACCTCCATTCCAGCTTTCCCAGTATTGTTTTCTCCAAGACCAGTATCTATTGGTGTGTATGCTCTATCTGCTATACACATCAAATCATTTACCTACACAAAACCTGTTTTTTGCAACTTAGTGAGAGGCAATTAACTTCACTGTAATGTGGTTTTTCTCTTCCTTTTACAAACCAGCGTTGAATTGACAGGGCAAACAAACAAATCTGCCTAAAAATGAAAGAATAGGAAGTTACAAAAGGAGCTGATAATAAAAAAAAAAAAAAAAAAGAAATCATGTAGACTCCAGAGTTAGAATCCACAAAACTAATATGCAACTTTGGGCAATAGGACAGTCAGATCTTACAAGAAGGAAAAAACAGCAGCCAGACAAAGTAGTTTCCAACTTCCATTTTGGTTTGGTCTGATAAATTATCTGTAAATGAGCTGAGTGAGAAGGTGTCTGAAATTTTATTGTCCAAAGCAGCAAGTGAGATCTAAGAACAAGATAAGAAGGATAAATCAGCAGGAAAAATTTCAGAAAAGTTGGAATTTTTGACAATTCAACATCAAGACGAGGACAGTAAATTACAGACACAATAGAACCGGATGTAAGGGAAGCAGCGACCACGGAAGTTTCAGAAAGCCAAATTTTACAGCCTCGCTCTGGATTATGAATATGTCAACATCATTGACACGCCCAATGAAAGCAGATTTCCCGATGAGAGAAGGATACCGACTAGAAGCCTCTTCAAGGGATCTTCTTCACTAACTTCTGACGACAAGGATATCACCGACGGTGTTCGTGGGAACGCTGATGGATCATAACTTGATGGACGGGAAGGTGTCTTTGATTGCTTCTTTGCCTTTGAAGGCATCATCTCTATTCTCTAAAATGTTGTCTAGAGCTTCAGTATTAGAGAAATAAGTTCGGTGACAGCAAGTTTTGTTGGACAGTCGAAATTGGGTGGTTTGGTGCCGGAGAAGATGGTGTTGTCGCCGGTTGGTCTGGATCGAGTAGAAAAGTTTCAGAGGTTTACTTAGGGTTTTTCTCATGGGCTCTAATGGGTTTAACCGCAGTTCGGTCCATTTAAATTTTCTGATTTTTACTAGATCTTCATTCTTCATTGGGTTTGACTCAAATGGGAACTTAATGGATTGGGCTTGTTTTTACAGAAACTGAAATAATGAATTGGGCTATGATGTGGGCACCAGGGCATGTTGAATTTTTCGTCTAGGTGGCCGTATAGAAAAAAAATTGAAAAATAAAAAAAGGCTTTCCAGGGGTCATCCGCTAGTCTATACCATGTTTTGTCCCCAATCTCATAGAACCCTAGAGCCTTCAGCTTATTAAAATAAATAGCATTATATAATTGTTCTTGACGATGGAAAACAACACCTCCATGCAGAAATGTTACTAATGTTATTAACAAATAACGGAGGTAGTATGTAGTATAGAAAAAAAATGTAATATAAAAAGAAAGGAGGTAGTATGAATCGTTGAAGTTTTTAACAGTGGAAGAATTGGTGTTTTGTCCTTTGATTGGCCTTCGTAATTGAATATACAGAATTGACTTGATATCATGTAAATTAAAGTAGAAAACAAAACGATTTGAGTTGCCTTTTATTAAGGGTATGCATACAACAGACTCACAACGAATTTTTTCCCAATCAAAGTAGAATACAAGAAGCATGAGATTTACAAACACTGAAGAAATAATACCAACAAGAAATAACTTGGAAATATTGAAGCAACAGAAAAATCAGTCAATAATAAAAAGAAATAGTTTTGAAAGGAGAAAATTTTGAAATTCATGAATCATTCCAAGGCTTTATTAGTAACGAGCACGCCACTAAGAAGCCAAACAAGTGAGAGGAATTCCCCACCTTCCCCCAACTGCTTAACATGGCTAATGCTGCCACTTGAAAAAGCAGCATAGAAAAGCATCTCTACCCAAACCTCCTTTATCATCTTCCATTTATCTTCTAAATTGTTTAGACTTGTGGTTAATTTTCTCACACTCTTCAGCAAATTGTCCAAATTCGAAAAGCTGCTTAAAAATTACAGTATATTTTAGAAAAATTACTTAATCAATTTATAACACTAGGAATATAAGATAGAAACAACATCATACCTGGATTCAGGGTTCTCTTCATGATCATCACCATCCAACTTTAATAGTGATTTACAAGCTGCCTTTGTATCAGTTGCATCAAAGAAGAGTTCTTTAAGCTTGTCATAAGTATGATCAAGCCAAAAGCTCTTACTATCCTCAGGCAAAAGCATGGTAGGACGCATAACCAGCAGAAACATCAAATAATCAGATACACGTTTACTTATCTCGGCATCTTCAGAGTGCTGAGAATTATCATGATAGTAACAAACACTCGTGGCAAGGTGCCATACTATGATACAACAGTCAAAGTCCAATTGAATGCTCCATTTTAGCTGATCATATTGATCTCGTGCCTGTAGTGCCTTTTTTCCCCTTGATGCCTTGAAGGTATTGTCTTCAAGTAAATCTAATTCTGAGGGGTAAATCTCTACTTGCTTCAAATAACTTGGAACCTCTACAAACTTAGTACAACTGTATTTGCGCCGCACATCAATGAGATCATTGCAATAAGTGATTTTTTGTAGACAGATACATGACTTGCTTGCCTCCTTTCTCTTGAATTGCAAACTATACTTCAGCAGATCAAATTGTCCCATTTGATCTGACCATCTTTTCCTTCGATTCAGAAAGCAAGGGAAGCACTTTAAGATGACCCAAAACATTTTGCGTACCCACGCATTATGATGAAGTGTAGCAACAAGGATTGCCCAATCAGAAGAAAACATCAGCCATGCTGCAAAAAGTTCCAAAGCAATAGCTCCACCCAACAAGATGGTTGTCATGTAAATATCAACTCTTGAGAAATGGAATTTCGAATCGTTCATGATGCTCATCAAGAAGAGCAACAGAACCGAAGAGGAGCAAGCAAAGCTGGTTAGGCGCAAGAAGCACCCTGTCTTGGTGTAAATCAAAGCAGACTTGGTGTAAACAAAGTCAAATATCAACCCCAATTCTATGATAAACACGGGAAAAATATCTTTGGTTTCTGCAGGAAGATTATCAACAATTGAAGTAAGCGCGCGATTTTCCAGATCCACCATGGATTCTTGGGCCCTTCTTCTCTCTAGTTCAAAAATTTCGTAGCGAAATGTATTTATCCTTAGTTTGGCAGTGGAAAGACTATAGGATTGGTAATTATTGACGTCTGATCTCTTCAATGAAAAAACTAGAAAGGCTCCTAACACATCCATGTTTTTAATAACAAAAGGTTTAAAGGTAGGTTCAATTTCAGTTAGGAAGGAAAAGATTGGCTCTGTTTTTTGTGAATTATTGAGCTTAAGACACAATATCCTCTCTGCATATTTGGCAATTCCAGCTATGATGAGAGGGAGAGTCAAAAAAGAAAGCCAAGAAGGGCTCCATGACAAAAAAATGACATAAACGGCCAAAACTACTTTGACAAGAAGGATGAGGAGGTGTCTAGTCCAAAGCTTGCTATCTTCATAGGCATAAGCCGTGATGGTGTCAGAACCACCAAGATGTAGTATGAGTAAAGGAGCCCAAAATGCTCTCAAAATGTTGGTGGTAGATCCTGGACACGGACTGGAAAGCTTGCCCAGACTAGCAATAGCAACCCAGTCTGCACTTAAGTAGGCAAACCAGAGAACAATTCTAGTGAAAAGATTAATTGTGTATTTCCTGCGGTTGCCTAGGACGGAGAGGATGATTTGTAAAAGTAGGCTCAAAAGAATCATTCCCCTAACATCCCATTCATTCCATGCTTTCAGCAACAAGGATGAAAATGAACTCACAATAGAAGTTGACTTCTCGCTGTCGATGAATGAACAAGAAAATAAATAAATAATCAAACTTATTCTAGCAACAAGGCAACTTATTACTTACGCAAACATAGTCTTAATTACACTATCCTAGCTATAACTTTTTGCAAAATAAATATTTTGTAAATTTTGCTGGTTAGATCTAAGCATCTATTCATGGCAAGACATTGATTGATATACACTCTAATTCAATATATTATCTAACATATTCATTAAAAAATTATTATTATTTTATCTAAAATTAAAGGGAAACAAAAATCAATTGAATCAACTGTATTTACATTATATTTTAATAATTAAATCAAGATAAGTGTCAAAAAATATATTGAATAAAGTATATGTCATCATTTTCATTCATAGACATGATTGTAAAATTTTAATCAATTAATTAGATAATGAATAGCTGGCATTCAATTCATGAAGCATAAATTTGCAAATAAAAGTTATAAACTAATCACTTCACAAGAAGTTTTCTTTTTAGAATACAATTGCTTATAACTTCCATCCTTATAAAATTGTAGTTACCGATTCATATGGGTTAAAACACAAAATCATAGTCCAACATAAAACCAATTGAAATAAATAAAATAACTCATTTTTATTTCTTTAATGTGAGATTTTCTCACTTAACAATATTTATTGTCTTATATATAAACAGGAATGATTAAAACAAAATGAAGGGGGAAAAATAATCTTTATGTCATTTTAAACTAGCTGGCTGGACTTACCTGTCCAACATTTCTGATCTTCAAGCAATGAAACAGAACGCCGAGTGAATTTTCAATCTTTAATATCTTGACACAGTGTAGAGAACAAAGAAAAAAATTGTTTTTTTCCTTTTTAGTTATAGTTTAATGAGGTCGATCCGTGGATGATGAAAATTCTTGTGTTCTATGTATATATAAATACAAACACTCAAAAAGCTTGAGAGTATTTTAAGTAATTCCTTACTTATTATCATAAACTTAACATCATTCTTTCCTTCAACATATATACATACTAAAGTAGAAAAAAAAAAGTAGTAAAAGAACAAATGTGAAAAGTGCCAATAAATTCTCCAAAAGCGTCTTCAATAGAGCACCTGAAAACTTCTTCACTACCTTTTCCAATCCAGAGGTTCCACGAATGGTGTTCGCGCCAATGAAGATTTATCAGAGTTTGATTAACAACCTCAAGACCAGATTTATTGGTAAGTAAATATTGTTTAAGTTAAAATTAAAATTTAAGTTTTGAGATCAATACTTTTGACAGCTTGGAGAAAATTTTTGGGGGGCCAACAAAATTTTTTTCTAGCACATATAAATTTGTTCTTTTTACTATAAATTTGTTAAAAATTAATTTTTTTTCAACTTTAAGATAAACAAGTTAACCCTACTCTTAATTTTAAGTATATCATATAATATAAATTATAGGACTGCCTTTCATTAAATTAATGAAAGATTAGTTTTGAGGTGTGTGTAAGTTTAATGAAGACCACCTTAACTATTAAACCTAAAATATTAAAGATGATATATATGAGGTTGTTAGAGTTTAAATCAATTGTATATAAAATTAAATAACAATAAAAAAAATTAAACTAATTAAATGCCCCTAATAAACAACCCTAAACATAGTACTTAATTGTTTATATTAATATATGAAATTCTCTTCAAAAAATTATTAAACAATAACATAATTTTTTTATAATAAAATATTAAAAAAATCACAACCACTTCACAACAACCTAAATCATCCGGTAAAAAACACCTTAAGTCAACAATATTTGTAAAGTATATATTACATTCAAATGACAGGAAGGAAAAGTGCGCGAAGTTATTCTTACTCTACTTATTATACTTTTCTTTTTTTGGTAAATTACTCTGCATATTATTCACACTTAGTTGTATATTTTCTCTCTCTCTCTCTCTCTCTCTTTTGTTTTGGAACAGCAAATATATTCTCACTCTTTATTTCAACATTTACGCCACTCTTTTAAGGTGCAGAAGACATGCTTGGCGTGGGGGTAGCTGTTTTAACTTTTATCCTTTGTTCTTTTCTTTTCTATAGATCTTAAACAGCTAGGCCATGAGAGAGCAAGGAATAAGGGAAGTTGAGATTGTAAGGACAATGTAGTAATATGATATAATTAAATCAACAAAAAAAAAAAAAAGTCTAGTTTCAAAAAAATCAACAAAAAAAGTGACCATTATCTGCAAAAGCAAAGCCAGAAAATAAAGTGAGGAAGGCAAAATATTTTATAAACCATTTCAATCTTATATCATAAGAAAAGAATATATTTTATTAAAAAATAAATAATACCTCACTATGATAATATTCAAACAATAGATCAACTAATTAAAATAATTTTAAAATCTTATTCTTTTCATCCTAAAATGTCCTTTTTTTTTTAGTAATTTGTATATATTAAAATTTATCATTTTCTATCCCCAAGAACAAAACAAAATGAAAGAGGAAATTCGTTCAATATACAAGAAATTCATTTTTTTATATTATAATATTCTCATCTTTTACAAAACACTTAATTAAGTCTCAATGTTCTCTTCATATCTGAAATGGTAATTACAATAAAAATATTATAAATTGTATTAATTTTAAATTGTTAATTATAAAAAGTTAAATTAAAATAACCTAACAATTCACATAATAAATATAATATTTAAAAATTTTAAAGAAAACAAATAATAAATGTACCAAAATTGAAAATTTTCAAAAGTTGACCCCCTTCGCACCCTCTCTCCCTCCTCCAATTAGATGATGAAGGCCTGATAATAGATATGGACTGGAACTGAGAACTTCTTCACTACCTTAGGAATTTAGTTGCGATTATGCCGATTTTTTATTGCTGCTGCCCCTTTCATTGGGGTACGTTTGGTCGGAAAATTGAATATTCTTTGGTCAAATCACCAGTAAAGGCAAATTCCAAAAAGAACACCTTACGTTTAGGCTTGCTTGGCTTGAGAGAAAGAAGAGTTATGCACGAAAGGAATTAAGCAAGAGATATTTGGAAAGTTAATAATTTTTACAATGAAATTTGTTAGGATTTTTACTTTTCAATGTTTGTTTGATAAACCACTAGCATTGGAAACACAGGGAAAAAGTTGCTAGGTGACTCTAACAAAGGGTTTGTTTAGTATAGTAGTTAAAATTTAGCGAATAATGGTAGCAGATAGCGGTAGTGGTTAGTGGATAGTGAAAAGTAGATAACGGATAGTGAAAAATAGGTAACTGATAGTAGATAGCAGATTCAATAAATATAACTGTTTAGTTATACAATAATTAACGATTGATATTTAATATTAAATGACTAATTTAAAATATTTTTCAAAATATTTTTTTATTTTTTTATTATTAAAATTATTAATTTTATAAAAATAATAAATAAACAAAATTAATTATTATAATGTAATTACACCTTCATTTTTATTTTTAACAAAGAAAAAATTATATTATTTTAAAATAAAAATTAATTATTTTGTCTAATTAGCAAATTTTGTTTTTTAAAATGATATATTTTTTAATGATAAATTAATGTACAAAATAAAAATATTATAATCACTTAATGTTATTGAAGGTAAAAAAAACAAAATTGAAACTTATTAGATAAATATTAATTAAAAAATGTGACAAAAAATTTAAAAATTAAAATGGATAAATTTGTTAACAAAATTAAAAAATTTCAATCCACTAGTGGTTTGGTTAGGTGTGACAATTTGTCTCGATCCCCGTAGAGCCCCACGAGGATCCCTACCACGGGGATGGGGCAAGAGGAATATTCCTCCCCGCAGAGCAAGGATGGGGGGTATTTTCTCCCCATGAAATTTCATGGGAAATTTTCCGTATCCCATGAGGCCTTGTGGGGAATCCCCACGAAAAATTTAAAAAATAAGTTAAATGTTCATTTTGGTCCCTCAACTTTGTCAATTTGCACATTTTTGGTCCCTAAAATATTTTGTGCACATTTTTTATGCCTCAACTCTAAGAAATGCACAACATTAGTCCTTCCGTCAATTTGGACCGTTAACCCCACCCACGTAGCATTTTTTATAATTTTTTTAATGATGTGGCAAATTACGTGGCATTTTTTATATTTTTTTAATGATATAACAAATTAAATTAAATCTAAATGCTTATATAGATAAAAAAAATGATATCAAGTGAGATTTCACTAATTAATCATCATTAAACTATAATTACTTATGTTAATTAAAATTGAGATTCTAATTAATTTATAATTAAATCACAATTTTCTTATCAAATTTTCTTTATAGATATTACAATTTTTTCTCGGCAACCAAACAAATTGAAATGATTTGCTCAGCATCCAAACACCCAAACTGTACAATTTTCTAGCCAAGCAAATGAAAACCCACTAAAAATTATTTCTTGGCCCATCAGTCATTGCTTCTGTTCTTTCCATCACCGATGATGTTCTTTTCATTTTGAACATTAAAATCATTTAGACAGTAGTTAGGAAATATAAAGCAAAAGGATCCAAAAAATCCATCACAACCTACAATTTGCATAAACTCTTCGCAACAAATGTATAAAAAAAAAAAATGGAGCTAGGTTTGAGGAACTCAGCAACTGGGTTCCACCGAACCTTGCAGATTTGGGTTCGATGGAACCCAGTTTGTTGGGTTTGAGGAACCCAGTAGATGGGTTCCATCAAATCCAGATTAGTTGGTTTTGAGGGAACCCAGCAACATAGAGGAAGAAGAGGAAGAAAGAAATACAAGAAAGAAAGGAAGATGGATTGAAAGAGGGGAAGAAGATGGATTACGAAAGGGAGACAGGGGTATTAAGGTAAATTTGTAGTTTTTTATTTTTTTCTTAAAAATATAAATACTAATCTAATTTGGTATATGAGTTGGCATTTTTATTTTCAATTTATATGATTTGTTATTGCCATATCATAAAAAAATTTAAAAAAAAAAAGTCACCATGTAACTTTTTAACTGCCATGTCACGGATAATTGACGAAAGATCAATATTGTGCATTTTGTAGAGTTAAGGAATAAAAAATGTGCACAAAATCTTTTAGGGACCAAAAATGTGCAAATCGATAAAGTTGAGGGACCAAAATGAACATTTAACCTAAAAAATATGTAAATTAATTTTATTTTAAATTTAATTCAACCTTCAAACCCAAACTCAATTTAATAAAAGTTAAAATTAATCCAATTTTACTCAACCCAACCCATCATTAACATTTTAGTTATGTATGTTGAATTGATCTTTATGTATGTTGAATTGATCTTTATTTATGTTTGAACAATTTGTATTTAATTTTATATTTAAAAATTTTTAGTTAATTGTATTTGAATTTTTAGAATTTTATTCATTATAATTAAATATTAATTAATTTTATGTAAAAAATTTATATTTTAATATTAATTTGTGAGGAATGGGATCCTCGCGGGGATCCCTATTCCCTGTAGGAACGAGGATGGGGGGAAAATCTACTCCCTATTAAAAATTCCCACGAGAATAGGGATAGAGAGGGACTCCTTGACTCCGTGGGCCTTATTGATATCTCTAGGTTTGGAATAAAAAGCTACCTAACTTAGTTTTTTCAATTCGTTAGCGGTTTAAACTCAAACCACTATCTGCTAGTCCCAAACCACTAAATAAAAATTTTTCCAAACATCTTTTTATAGCAGTTTTGAAATATATAAATTTACCAAACACGTATACTTAGTAATTTTACTTAAACCATTAATTGATACTCCAAAATTGTTATACCAAATACGTCTCAAAAAAAATTGATTAAAACTTCTTTTTGGAAAAAAGTTTAAGAAAGAAAAAAAATTAGTGTTTATTAGTTAAATCTGTAAAAAAAAAATTAAGTAAATAATATTCAAAATTATA